TTCAATGTAAAAGGGGCATAACTCTGCCAAAAATCATCGAACCATGACCAATTTCGAACTTGACCTGTATTTTCTCATGACATATCCATATGTCAAATTTGAGTTCAATATGTGCAAGGGTTATTAAGATAATGAACGGAAACTGATGATGACGGAAGGACGGAATGACGGAATGACGGAACAGGGTAACACTATATGCCCCTGCCATTATATGGCGGGGGCATAAAAATAATAATAATAATAATAATGAAAATAATAATAATAATAAATAATAATAATAATGAAAATAATAATAGTAATTAATAATAATAATAATAATAATGAAAATAATAATAATAGTTATTAATAATAATAATAATGAAAATAATAATAATAATTAGTAATAATAATGAAAATAATAATACTAATAATAATAATGACAATAATAATTGTATACTCTACTATTATTTATTTTCTAACAAGAGTAAAACCATATGACGTTGGGAAATATCTTCTTTATAACTTAAATAGAAGAGATAATTCTTGATTTTGTTTCAATTATAATCCATTTAACATTCATATCACATTAAAATCATTTTATATATAAACTGTCTCACAAATAAAAGTTTAAACCATATAAATCCATGCCCGAGTTCTAAAGGTCGTTGACTCTAAGCCGCTGAGGGTTCGACTCCGACTAGGGACTTCATCTCATTCTTTCATGTGAGGAAGGTCTATAGCTAGCTGACGGACCGTCAGTGGTTCGACTTAAAACAATTCGAAACCCTATCGCCTAAGTCTGTTTTACAGACTGTTAAAGACTAGGCTATCACCAATACAATGTTTTATCTGACAAGAACATGACATGTATTTTATAAATCCCAATAATTATATTGTAGTAAGATAACAAAATACAGTATGTTGTATTTTACCACTTGTCCGAATGACCAACGATGTTACCATGTTCAGGTGATATGGTAATTCCATTGATGTTTACAACAGCACGTATCTGTAACATATAATATTCGTAACTTCACATATTTATTATACATTAATAATGTATAAAATAGATATGTGAACTTACTTAAAATTTAACTTGAATAAAGCGTGATTTACATATCAACTCGTTTATAATGCATTTGATAAGTCGGTCAAACATATTTTTCAATTTGTATCTAGTAAATATTTCAAATGTCAAACCATTACAGATTGGTATGACTAACATTCTAACAATAAAATGGAGAAGAAAAAAACAATCTGAAATGTTTCTGTTATGAAATAAGGTATGCCAACCATTATTTGCATTGCACTTGGACTCATTTTACAATAATAATATATCACAAGAATTCAAGATTCTTACTTGTGGATAAATGGATGTTAAAGCAAGGGACAGGAATCCACCGAAGCAAAGTCCAACGGCTCCTAGTCTGTTCTTATCAACAAAATCTTGTTCAATCAACCATTCGTATGCATCCTATTTACATATATATGTATATGTACTCGTAAATACAACTTTAGCGTTTTCATATGTCGTGCAAACAAATACTTAGTGACAAAAATAGTAGAAATATTTTCTCTTACAGTAATATACATGTACGGTATTGAAATATTTTGTATATATACATTATTAAGATCTCTATGGAATGACTTTATTAAAAAGATGGCACACTATCTTTCATTGTCAATTACTTCGCTGGAAAATATGCGTTTCTATTCAGTACTTTAACGACAATGTTGGTAAAAAGTTCGGTGACTAATTGAGACTATACTGAACATGCTTCAATCTTCCTAATAGGAAAATTTCTTTTGCAGATTTATATTGTCAGTAATGAATCAGGAGCCCTTAATTTCTAAATTACATGTCAGATATTTTTCTTTGACAGATTTAAAGTTGGTCTAAAATTCAATAACTATTCAAGAAACTTTCTTATTTTACAGTGAAAGAGATAAAAAATCTACTTTGTTTTTCTTTAGGTAGACATCAGCATTAACTTTCGTTTGCGCACATACATGTATTTTGGAGTAATCTACAATAAAGAATACATTTTAATAGAGTTCATGTTTTTTTTTGCCTACATACCGTAATATAGGAAAAATTCACTTCATATATCTGGTTGGGAAGTCCTTCACTGTATAAATATGATAAAGCCAATGTGACGTAACCATGTGACGCTAACAACGCTGCACGTGTTTCTATAAGACTCACAAGTCCCCCGTACATGTCAGTCAGCGCGGGAAATGGGCCATCTCCTGAAACAAATTTACGAAAAAAAATGTCACACAATGTGTAGGGTACAAAATGTAAAATATTTTACTTCTTAAGAATATTCAGAATATCTTCGAAACGAAACGAATCTGGAAATAGATACCTTTTAATACATGAAAACAGGACAGGGTTTTGTCAATTTGATTGAAGAGATATAATTTAGGAACAAATACATTAGAATGTTCAGTTCTTCAAACGAATCACAATTTTTTAACTACTGTGCAACATTTCCAATGAATTCAGAAAATCGGATTCTCATTTTTTTTTAAACTTGAAACATCATCAGGCAAGTTGTTACATAGCAAAATAGATCTAAATTCATGTAAAAGCTACAAAAATAAAACCTTCTGGAATAAATAATGTTCCCTTGATCTTCCCTGTTAACGGTATTCTTCTCACCCCGGGCTTTTTATATAACCTTTCAACTTTTGTCCCAGTAATAGGATCATTAGACTGTATAGGTACTTCATGGGCGTCACTATAAACTTTTATGTTGAATTTCATTGGTGTACTAACGTCTTTTTTGATAAGTCGAGCAGACTGATTAGGCGCGGCTAAACACTTCAGACTCCAAAACAGACCCATTGGTTCAACTCCTGTAAAATTATTTGACATTTCAATTACTTTGAAGGGCACTGACAGCGCTTTTATAATTGTTTTGTAAAATTTTAAGGACTTAAATCCACCTAACATTATACAAATCTGTTGTTTATTAATGAATAATAGAGAAAACAAATAAGCAATGCTTGTAAATCATGATGTTTAATATTTTTTTAGAGTGTAATTAGTGAAAAGGAGGCTTTCATAAATTATGCAATGCCATTTTACATTGCACACTTTCTGTAAATCCAGCAACGTATTAAGCATCTTTATTGTAGATGTTTTTCAAAAAATTAAAGATAATTGCAGCAGTAGTACTCTTAATATTTCTTTAAAATATTGTGCCTCTTTCCAATCTACGTAACACTGTTCGAATACTTGTAAAATTAAATACTTGTCAAATGATATACATTGTACATGTAAAAAAATCGATTAAATGGTAGACGGACGAGTAATACTAATTACCGAATTATCAAGTTTTTTTTATTGTTAAAATTCACAAGTAGACCATCCAGTAAGTTATAGCTATATTTCACGAGTTTGTAAGGTTTGCATAACTCTGACAGTTGGAATTAAGGCATGAACGGATAACAGATTAAAACCACCGACCGATGTTCCTTACATTAGCAACATAGCTTCTTCATACGAAAGAATCAAAAGTCGCTGACGGGATTCGAACGACAAGTGGTCTGAAGTCAACGACTGTAACCACTCGGCCTCGCCCCCCCCCCAAAGGTATGATATAATATTTAAAAAAAAATAGGAAAATAATTTGATTGAAAAAGACAAAAAAAAACACAAGCAACATTTACCTTTAAAATAACCACCAATGGATTCTGTAGAGAAATTATGTATTTCTCCATTATTGTCAGCCTGGTAAATACACCGAGATTCGAACTTCATTCCATTTTCTATCACATCAGCAACAACAGTCACCACCTGTCTAGCGGCCAGTCCACGAATATGTATGTTGACTTTTTCGTCGACCATCCCAACAGAAGGTTTAACAGTTATACTTGGAGCAACATTGTTTGCCGCACTTGAACAGCAAACTTTTGTGCCTATCGCAAAATGCTTATTTAGGACTTCAAGGCGCCGTATACACCGCCAAACTGTGTAACTTACAGAAGTTGTCATCTCTGCGTTAGCTTAAAATAAGATTTAGCACTACAAGTTCAAGACGTCGAAATGATCTTCAAATTGTGTAACTATAACTGCAAACGTCATGACTGTGTTGATTTAAAAAAGACCTTGTAATTAAAGGCCATTACTCTGACAAAAATCATTGAACCGGAAAATGCCGTAAAGTTTGGATGAAATTGTACTATAGTAGACTTGACAAGCTTTTTTCGACGTACGGACGGACGGACAGACTGACTGACACACGAACGGAAAGTCACACGACACGAAGAAGTGATCTCTACATGTCGCCACTACTCTGTTCAGTAGGGGCGATATAAAATGGCCAAATTATGGCGACTGTACTTGTTGCAGTAGCTCGAAAATTTCCTTCCAAGAAGTCGAGATCATGAATTATTTAAACAGCTACAGAGGAGTGACTATAACTGTTTAATTTTTCTTATTCGCCTCTAACTAAGTCGTTGACCTTCTTTTCGTAAACGCTTGCTGTTTTTTGTAGTTTTTACTTGTGTGTGTTTCTTTTTCGTTTTGTTTAGTTTTTTTCCGTATCTATAGACCATGTAGACGCGCTGTTTAAAATGGAAACAGTTTTTGCGAAATAGACTGCCAGGAATTTTCAAATAAAGGCTTTCTCATAGGGCAAAAATGAAAGACACTAAAATATTGTATTGGGGTTGCATGATGTACAAATCGCTACATGTACGGATCCGCACGAGAAAACCTGCTCTTATTTAACAGTTTAATAGCCCAAAAAAACATCTCAACAATGAACACCATATACATAATATTTAAACACTTGCTGGCATTTTATGAGATAGCTGTTACTTAAACAATAAAATATTGATAACATAATAATATAACAAACACTTGCACAGTGATTTAGATTAGGCAGTATATCCGTCAGTACAGTAGTGTAAAATAATAATGTATTACATTTCAAAAGACAAATCATTTAACGTTACTTTAATTAGAATTTAACATGATCAACATTACAAGTATATTGACATACACTTACTTCATTATTGACTGCCAATTTTTAATCATCAATTCATAATCCTCATTCAAGTCTAATTTTGTGCACCAAAACTCGTTCCATTTTATGACCTGTTATCACTTTGTGTTTATGCGATTCGGATAGTCTGTACACCGGATACAATTTTCACTTACTTTTTATTTCCTCATATTTAGAATATGTGATGTACTTTCATAATAATAATTAATAATAATACTAAATTAAATGCAAAATCTTATTTTCAACAAGGCCTTCAATAAACATTAACATAACAATGGACATATTATATTATAAGCAGTTATAAAGATTACAACATTCAGTAAATCTTAATCAACAAAGAAGACAGGCATAATATTATATTATAGTATAGGTAAATTTTCGATAATTCATCTTTAGATAATAATACATGTTTGACATGTGATAAAAACAATTTAAGACTAAACGAATAGTGTTCCATAACTCCATTCTAGAGTTTCAAATAATTTGTTTTAGGTCGTACATGCAGATCTTAGTAAGTACGTTTTATTTTGAATGGAAAAGATAACCATTTCATATTTTGAAACATTTCAAAAGAATTTGTTTTTACGTGTTTATTTAAAATAATTTAGGTGGTATTTTTTTGCAATTTTGTTATTCTATTTAGATCTGATGTGTTACTTTGGGACCAAATAATGCATCCATAATCAAAAGGTGGGGTTATGTAAGCGTTATAAAATAATTGTTTCATTTCAGGTGTAAGAAATATTTGAATTCTTTTCTGCAGGGATATTTTAGAAGCAAACTTAGAACACTTTTGCCAATATATGTTTTCCAAGACAGACAGTTGTCAAATTGCAATCCAAGTAGTTTTTGACAATAAACATTAAATTATTTATACTCGAATTCTCAATATGTAGAGAAAGATGGCTATGTTAATAATTTTACATTTTGATCCAACTATCACGCATGTTGTCTTTTCTAGATTAATGGCCTATTATTGAGAGTTCAACATTCCTGTATTTTTAATAAGTCTAGCTGTAACTCGAGTGATTTTGCAGGTTATGCCAAATGCTTGCTGTTAGATGTCATCAACATGCTAGCATAAGGATGATACCTGGTCGATATAGGACCGATATCTTTCTACTGTTGGCTGACATCGCACCGCTATTGTTTTGATGTAGGCCCGATCTCGGCAAGAAATATCGGGCCTATATCGTTAAGATATCGGCCATATATTTTATTGCCGATGTCGGGCCAACATCATTCCTATTTGCAGCCGAGGTTAAAGCCGACATCGGGCCGTCATAGAAAACCATGTCGGTTTGATGTCTGGCCGATATAGAATGTTGGCTGGGTCAGACTGTATATTACTAAAACTTTGGTCAGCTATGTGTAATGTTGAATCGTCTGCATACATATCAATGTCTGAATTCGTAGTGACTGACATATTTACCTATAAAAGAAACGTATAGGACCTAAGATTGAGCCCTGTGGTACATCTGATATAACCGGCAAGCTTTCAGATTTATTATTGTTGACTTTTACTGTATGAAGCAACTTAGAAACACTGTTTTGTCTCGATTTGTATTGTGTTTTACGACATTGGAATTACATTTATTGATTTTAATTCGAATGCATATTGAAACAATGTTATTTAAAAAAAAGTATGGACATTATAAAAATAAGAGCAAAACATATTAAAACATAGCGATTAATAAATTAACAATCATAGCTTCAATAACGCTGAAAATATAGATAGCAGAAAAACATGGGCCTACGAGGACGCGGTCTTATAACATACTTAGGCCGTTTTAGAATTTATAAATCAGTAGTTTACCCTAGTACAATTACTTCACAAAGTAAAATCAAATTAGATCACATCTTACTGCGCACATCTCACTGAATGTACCGAAAGTACAGTCTTTTTTTTGCACGAGTAATAGTAAACGATAAATAATTAATGGCTGTAAACATGTGGCTTAAAATTCATTTATATTGTTAAAACGTTTAGATATTCATGCAAGTTTGGAGGACAAGCCAAAAGCCGATGGGATACTATAGCCCCGATGAATTTCAGAAGCAAACGTGAAAATTCGGAGTTAATAAAGAAAAACAGGTCATTGATGCAGTCTACAGGAAAGTTTACCAGTTTTCTCTCTAACACCTGTCAACGATAAGATTTAATACAAATTAACGGATCAATTAATCGGCCTAAAACATTTGATGTTTGCTTTAAAAAATAATTATATATAAATAATTAATGTGGACTGTAAATCTGTAGCTGCGTACTTGTAGATAAAACATTTATCTGTTATACATGTACGTAGTAGATGCTGTTTTTTCTAAACTTATTAGGTCAAATTTAATAAATTTTGGTATCTAATCAATATATTACAATATATTCAATTGTTATACATGTACTTAAATAGTACTATAGTCATTATGTATGTATTGAGATTTTATTAATCTTTAAACTTTTTGGCCCTAAATAATGTGTAACGATATGATAAATCAGACGTTGATTAATAAATGGGTATGTTGCAATAATATTTTAGTAAATTATGCATTTACCCTATCCGTAAAATAAAACCGAACAGACAGTGTGCATGGTGGTGTAGCGTTGACATTAGTCTTAGTCATGGTATAAGCTTATGACATTATTTTTCTTCAGAAATGGTCAACCTTTGTTTTCAGTCAATAGTCTTTTAAAATCCTGCGATTTAAGATACATATTACAGAAACCTTGAATAGAGCGAATTATAAACGTACAAATGTAAACAAATTAAAAGGTAATTGTATAAAACTAAAAGACATCTGAAATAACATTAACGTCATCAATTCTAAACACAAACATTCATTTTATATATGTGAATCCTTCTTTTTGAACGGTTAGCGATAATATGATAAGCTTTGTCCTAGTTGTGTTATATGACCTGTTGGAGAAACATTTTATAATTGTGATCGCTGATGAAATGACAAAAAAATACTCTTTTGAATTTTGATTAGATACTTGTATTTTTAACGTTAAACATATTTGTTACAAGACCTTGTGGTATTTAATACAATATGGAGATAAAAGTTCATACCGCACAGTTAATAATTTTGTCGTCGTTAATTTCCTATAATTGAAAACAGTTGGTTAAATTACAGATATATATATGACACGTACGTACGTATGTTTGCTTAATGACGGCCCATCAGCCCATTAAGGTACAAATAGCAGCTTTCGTTGTCGGACATGTCACTAGTCATGCCCTTTAAGAGTAAATTTTGAAGCACAAAGTGGGGATAATTTACCTCCATGCAATTTCAACGGTCTATTATCCAAAGATATGAATACTTAACCAAAAGTATGTCACTGTATGGCAGTCAATGAGAACCTAAATGTTCAGTAACCTGTGGTGGGTTTTGTCAGATGCAAAACAACCCCCTTTAAATGAAGGAAACTTTTTTTAAATATCGCATGATGTAATTTTCATGGTTCCACTATATTAAGTCTTCTCTACAAACTTGCCTCATTAAATTAAATCAGACAGTAACTATTGTACTTTACGGAGATAGAGATAAAAAGGTATTCTTCCATCTGAAGAAAATGTAAAATAAAATGTAACAAAATTTGAATTCAACAAAGCAAGAATTTAAAATAGGGCCCGAAGTGTAAACCTGATGTATGTGTTTTTTATTGACAACTCGCAAAATAAATCATTCCACAGTAGTTCATGTGTCTTATTCAAAAGCATACAAGACTCGAATAATGGCTGATTTGTTATACATCCGAAAGATGACATTGGTACAAATCAGTCACCAAATCTTGTACTTAAACATACATATAAACATATCATACATTTTGTCTAAAACGATTTTTATATCGAAATAATTTTCTAAAAATAGATAATGGTTCATGGTAGATAACAGCCCAGTTAAAAATAGAATGATTAAATCGCGTGTACATCTTCTTTCATCTTAAAATGATAATATGTTGACGTCATAATATAACAGATATAGTTGTTTCGGTTTAAAATTTACAATTTTTACAATTTTCTTTAACCTATGTTTAAGCTTTTAAGATAACAATAGTAACTGTAATTAAGTTTAATTTCTAAAATGTTGGTGTTTTGTTTTCTTTTTACATTATTGAGATGAGCTTTTCACAAAAGATACCACCGGAATGGACTTTCAACCGTTTCCTTGATAAAGTCGTTTGTATTGTAGATCAAAACCACGAAACGTTTTTGCGACTAAAATGGAAACTTGAAGGTAGGTTGTTTCTTATAATATCATAATAATAGTACTTTATTTTAGAATACATGTACATGTATTATATGTACATTGATACGTCTGTCCACGTTTCTGATTGAGAAGAATACATTATGTATAAACCTTTCATCTTTTAATTATTACACTCTTGTTTCAGAGGATTTAGATTTTGAAATGTTTCTACCGGTTTCCAACATTTTTCTTTTTTGGATGCAAGTAAATTTGTATATAGGAAACAAACATTAAAACAAAAATCAACAATGAACGTCATAACATTCTAAAAATAACATAACGCCAGGATGTTACTTTATGTATCTTTTACATTCATAGGTTCTTGCATCTTGTTAGATAATTGTTTGCAAGACGCCAAATCAGCCGACGACCTCTTCGAAAAGCTAAAGGACAAACGACTTTTGACCAGATATAATATTGACTTCCTACATCACATTTTACATGAACTAGGGGATGCAGATATGTTGATGCAGTTAATGGCAAACAAGAAACTCTTCAGCACGGAGATAAATTTTCAGAGTCCTACAGAAAATGCACCAGGTACTTAAAGTTTTAAAGCCAAAAATCACCTGTCATTTATTTTTGCATTTTTTAAATATGGGTATGAGTGTCCCAAGACCGACTATGGGACCAAAATCAGAATTTCTATTTTGCCTGCATTTAGATACCCATAATCACATTGCGTCTGAGTTTGGCAGTGTATTTTTTCTGTTATTTCTGCATAAAGAGCAACAGAAGCAAAAGATGGTTGAGGCAATTGGCCAATGAGTACTTCTTGGAAACAACAGGACGCTAAAAATAAAAACAAGTTTCTGAGAAATGATAATATGTAGTAAATCTATAATGGTTTAACAACTTTACATAGATGTTCAAGTTCGTTGTATACTTTGACACCCGGATGTAATCAGAAAGATTAATCTGAGCAGCTTTTGCTCAACAGGACATGTGAACTGATAGGGAATATTGGGATTTCCCATCTCACCAGGTCAACACCATTATATATTTGTAAGGGCAATAAACATTTCAGAGACAATTAATAAAGAGCGTTGAAACAATATTTTTATCTTCTACAATTGATTTATAATCCTATTCTTTTTCAGAGAGAGGCTTTGAACATATCACAACATTTACCCAAAAGGAAAATGACAGCTCTTTCGACATGGCGATGCTGTATGACTTTAAAGCGAAATTTTCGTCATTTCTTATGGTACCATTAGCAAAGAGCTTTATCATAGGGATAGAACCTTATGATAGCGGTCATAAAATAACGTTTAAGACGCCTGAGATGTATGTTCAGGTTTTTGAAAAATGGATGAGTGAAAAATCTTGCGATGAGGTATTGAAAAATCTTCACATAGTAAAAATACAGACAAAAGACCAAACGTTCTCATTTACAGGTATACTTGATTATATTTTGCCTAATTATTCTAAATTGTAACAAATATTTATGTCGATTTTCCCATAAATCTATTTGTGTTTTAAGCTATCTTTATAACAAAATATATTGTACAGATAATTAAAACTGAGAATCATTTCAACAGTTGACCAAACCTACTTGACTTCTGGCATATTTTTTATGTTAATTACACCAATTTAACGAAAATTCATATGATGCTATTTTAGTCGTTCTGTTTATCTAAATGATATAAGAAATACTGGTCCTTTATGTGCATTTATACATGACGCATGTGTAAGGGACATCGGATTAGAATAAAACTAGAAATGTGTCATCATGCCACGGATGCCTCCGCATGCAGCCAAAATTTCAGATGTTATAATATTAAGTTCCAAATTTGTTTGCACAAATTATTTTTATCATTTTAAGTTCAAAGCCCTTAAAACTTTTCAATGTTAACACAAACCATTTTTATACAATGTCGAAGGCACTGAAATTATTCAGTCTTAGCCTTTTGTAAATTGCATGTTGCATATTTGTAGCCAAAATAATGGCTACATACATTTCCACAAAAGTATGAGTGCTGAAATTGAAAATTCAAAATTTTTCCAAGAGAAGTTTGTCCAAAATCATTGAACCACGACCAAATTCAATCTACAAATTCTGCTTAATCCTAAGATGTATCTATATGTTAAATATGAGTTGAATGTGTACAACCATTGAGGAGATAATGAACGGAAACTTAAAATTTCTGATTTTTTTTCAAAGTTCAAGAGGAATAACTCTTTCAGCTATCATCAAACCATGACTAAATTTTTGTGGAAATGTATGTAGCCATTATTTTGGCTACAATTATGCAATATGCATTTTACAAAGGGTTAAGACTGAACAATTTCAGTGCCTTCAACATTGTATAAAAATGGTTTGTGTTAACATTGAAAAGTTTTAAGGGCTTGAACTTAAAATGATAAAAATAATTTGTGCAAACAAATTTGGAACTACAGTTTGTAAATATTACAACATCTGAAATTTTGGCTGCATGCGGGGGCATCCGTGGTATGATGACACATTTCTAGTTTTAGTATATACATTTTCATAAATGTGGATTATTTTAAGGTCAGGAAGAAAAAATGCCCGAAGAGGAAAGTCGATTTAAAGCTATAACGGCTTTATACAACGACCTTCAAGAGCGGTCTAAAGATTTAAATCGTGCAGAAGAATTGATACAAGAACAGATTGACCAACTTGGGAAAATCGGATGTTTACCGGATCGTCTGCTGAAGTTACACACGAAATCTGGGATGTCTGTTACTTTATGGAAAACTCTTGTAAAAACTCGGAACGGAAAACTGCCCTCTCATTATTTTCCGATGCAAAATCATATTGAACTTGAAAAAGAATCCCTACATTCTAAAATAGTTAGAATTTATCCACATATTAAAGAACCATTGTGCTGTAAAAACAACTAGATATGATTTGAACTGTTGTCTTTACTTTATGCCAGTTAACATCTATAGGTCGTTTTTTTATGCATTGTCTAAAATATAATGAAGAGGATATTTGTGTGTTTGTTTGTGTGTAAGATGAAATTTTATATCATCGAGTGAGCTTCAAACCAGTATTCTCACGACTGGCGTAGCTTTTAATGTTTACGAGATGTAATAATTTATCTTTTACAACAAACAAATAAATATCCTCAATATAATAATTTGTATGCTTAAAAACAAGTTTAGATGGAATTTCCTTGATTAACTTTAATATTAAAATCTGTTTTCCCCACTAGTAGCCTATTTTAGTCGAATTTCTCATTAAGTACAAGAAGTCTTGAGCTGAATAATAAGTTCGATAATCAACGTTGTATGGCAACGATATTCATTTATTTCATTAAAAAATATGACAGGTAGCTTGTTTTTATTTCTAAAAACAAGCAACTCTAGTTGAAGAAAAAGCCATATCATCCGACCTTATTTATATTAGACCATGCAGGATTTGTGTAATATCAGCGGCCGCCACTTTAAAAAGTTGTGTATTTCACGGGAGGAAAATAATTGTGTTTGATTCAGAGGTATATCATTTGGATTTGTTAGTCATACATCTTTTTATACCAAAGAAAACTTATTTGAGGATTGTTGCTGAGAACAATTAAGTGCTGACAGATATGTAAACATTCAAAAAGCGGTTTTGAAAAAAGAGAACATGGAATTGTGAAAAACTGCCTTACGAGCGCTTGATTGTTTACTTATTCTTCGACCTGATGGCTGTCATTGCTTTTTAAGTTTTTATTTTGCATTAGGCAAACATTGATTACTTGTAAGATATTTAAATATGCCCAATTGATATCAAAAGCAGTTTGAATGTGGAAAGAATTTTATTTTTCAGACTGTAAAAAAATAAATAAATAAATTTAGAGACGAAATTTGGTGATTGGTAATTTGAAAGATAGTTTTCTTCTTTTTAATACTTTTGAAATTTAACTTATTTATTAATTTCAGCTTTGCTTTTCTCTAAACAGCCCTGGCAATGTCAGAATTGTCAGCAAAAATAAAATCGAGGTACCACATGGAGGAAATCTTTAAAATAGTAGTCTCGTCATTGAAAAGTGTGAAATTGTATTTTAATAATGTTCACTGTGAAATTATCAAATATCATTTTCACGGATAAACACTAATTCACTGAAAAGCATAAAATAAATCAATGTATCAATTTAAATACGATGAATTTATTATAACCATTTATAGGTATGTCATTTAAAATATTATCAATTTAGTTGCTAAAGATGCCATCTGCATAAGCATATTATTATCAAAATTAAAAGAAAATCATTGTCAATTTTATTTTTTGCTCTTTAGTCGTAGGGAATTGGAATATTTCTTTAACTTCACCAAACGTCTCTTTGGTCGTATTACATTAGAATATTTTATTTCACTTCACCAAACGTCTTTTGGACATAAAGATGATATAACGCCATAAAAATATTACATTTGCTTAAAATATTAACGATATATATATGGCATGTATTTTTTCAAAGCAATTCAATTTATACACCAATATTGCCCATGCAGCACAGGTATCGGTGTAGTCTGAATAAGCTTTATATTTTTGTCTGACTACCTTTTTGGGTCGCTTCTACAAAGAAGTAGCGACATATAGAGATCCTTTCCCCGTCGTCTTTCTGTCCGTCTGTCTGACTGTTTTTGGCCGAGATATGGTCCTGGAATAAAAAGGTGTTGGGTATTGCCAGCTACGTAGAAGCTTTTGGACTACTCAAAAACATCTGGTGCATTTTCAACCACACTTTACAGAATTGATCCATACTAATGATTTTGGGCTGAGTTATGACCCTTGAATAAAAAACGCGTTATGTCCTGTTAGTAATGATTTTTGTGTCTCCTGCTACACATTAGCTGCAACATGCAATTGGTTATCATGATGCGACACATGTTATCAATTATCGCTCGTGGTTATCTCGATAACCACAAACTTTTATATTCAGATATTTCGAAAACTGGAAGCTGAAGAACTCAATTTGAGATGTTAACAGTTGACTGTTATGAAATAACAACAATGACTTAGCTGGACACTTTATGCATACAATTATCAATTTCAAAAAATACGTTTTCAATTAATATACATTTGCGTATGCCATGAAATAGATTTAAAATAATAAAAAAACAACAACAAAAAACAAAAACAACACCACTACTAATACTATCTTTTGTACAGCGTTGAATTTAAAATAATACAATTATTTTAAATATGTATTTTTTGCCAATTTCTGTCAGGAACATCGATGGGAGTATGACTCGTCTTCAGCGATAGTTCAAGTTATTATTATTATTATTACATTGTAAACGAAACAATGTCATCAGTTTATTTGGGAAAGTTCATCTATGAACTAATACTATGAACATTGTATGATTTTCACTGTTGACTAGATAATAAAAATACATGTACAGTGTGAAGTCAGCATTTTTTCGGTGTTATAATTAAACATATTCCACGAAATAGAATGACTTCATTTCTTACAATTTTGTCAGGGATTCCAATTAATACAATATATCACAGGTGGCATTTTCACACACTCATTCAAACACACACACACACATATATATATAGGTACATTGATATGTGATATACAAGCGTATGATTACTTGTTTCGACTCTCGGATTTATCTGAAAAATGAAAAAAGAATATGGCTAAGAGAGACAATCATAACTTGTCTCTCCACAGTTTGTTGGATAAAATATGTCAAAGCAATATTAGCGATGGAGACTTTCGAATTATGAAACGAAAGATTAAAGGTATAGTACATGACATTACTATTTGCATTAATCATGTTGGGACAGTTTTAAATATCTATTTTATGCGACTTCGCTAATGTTGAAAGGAAAATGTGTTGCGTGCTTGTTTCTTTGATTGTATGTGTTTTACTATTTTGAACTAGTGCTTCATTTGATAGTCATCTTGATATTAAATTTGATTAGAATTTTCGGTTTCAAATTTAAAAAGAAAGCGTGCACTGGATACATGAAAGCTTCTGTAATGTATTGACCATACAACTATATTGAAAATTGATATAACCAGAAGTTTGGTTTTGTTTAAATAGCAGAGGGGTTGCTGAATTTTGTTTTTGATCAGTTTTCATTTGCGTTCATCTCATTTATGGATCAACGAAAGTGTTCGAGACTGTATGGACCTGGCGTAACACAATATGGAATTGGGTTAGAATGTTCCACTTAAAACTTCAAGCACGCATTTATAAAAGACACAATTCTGCAGATTTTATTTTATATCCAGCTTTTGATATGTAAACAATGTTCTAATGATGTTCAAATTTCAATTTAATGTAAACCGTCGGGTGGTCAATACATTTTAGCAAATTTTGTTGTCAAATATATAAATAGTGTGCGTAATTGAGGACACAAATTTCCCTGTAATCAAATTGACACTTTCTTTTGCAACTTTATAACTTATATCACCGTTATGTAAATGAAATAAAACAAATTTATAGCGTTGGTTGATTTCTCATTCAATTTTTTTTAAATAATTACAGATTTGGTCCCTGGAAACGTGCAGACGGTTTCAACACCTAGAGAATTATTCAGTTTGCTTCAAGAGCACAGATGCTTTGAGGAAAATGAATATGTGTTCATACAATTCCAAGAAATTTTCAAACAAATCAAGCGGCCTGATTTAGTACACATTGTCAGTGATTATTGTGAAAGCAATGGAAAAGGGCTTTATATTAAACGGAATAAAGGTACTTTTTGTTCCTTAGGAATAATTGATTTTGAAGATTCAAAATAAATAAATATCTTATTAACTCTTTATCATTTAATTATTCAGAAAAGTAAGGTAGTGATTTTTATAAATGTAGTTTATAACTGTACGAAGTACCTGGAATTCTTTCGTTTTTTTGCTGTCGAGTTGAATTAGAAAAATATTTCCAAAGGTAGACTTTGATGATGGAGATTGACTAATAATTGATAATGAAAAATGTTTAGGATAAAATAAAAAAAAACTACCTTAGTTATATAAAAAAAACTGCCCACTCTGTCCTATACATTTCGATCGATATCTATAAAAAAAGTCCATGGCTCATATTGATTATTAGTTATTTTTGCATAGTAAAGTTTGAATTGAAAGTATAAAGTAGTTTTGAATTTTACCTGATCTCTCAACAGCATAATGTCCTTTTAACACGTACTCCGTTAGGAAAAGCTATGGTTTTTGATAAACGGGAAAAGAAATTTCTCATAAATTTGTCTATGTATTATTGTGTCGCTGTTTCTGTTTTGTTTGTTCATTTATTCATTTATTTATTTATTTAATTTGTAAATTGTACTTGAACAGATGACAGTCCATTTGTTAAAATTGTGTGTCAACAAATCATAAACTCCAATCAATGTCTAGAGATAGTGCAATACGTATCCAGACTCCTGACGGTGGACAAGCTTTACTTAGTGATTGAAGGAAATGATAACCGCCTATTTTATCCCAACGGTGACCTTGCTGTCAAAGAATTTCAAGGTTAGTATCCAGAAATTCTAGCGAAATTGTAATTGTATAACAGTTACATAAGTGTTACATTAGATGATTTGGTTAATTTGTTAATGTTATAATTTGTTTAAGTTAAACAAGTTTTTGCTGTTTGAGTAGTAGTAAACAGTATAATTAATAATTGTAAATATGTGGCTTAAAATACATTTTTGTTTTCTTAAAACGTTTAGATATCCATGCAAGTTTGGAGGGCAAGCCAAAAACCGATAAGATACTGGTAGCCCATCAGAGAGAAAAGGATGAACTTCAGAAGCAAATTGAAGAATTGAAACGTGAAAATGCGGGGTTAAAAAAGGAAAACAGGTCATTAATTCAGTCTGCAAAAAAGTTTACATGTTTTCCCTCTAACACCTGTCAACGATAAGATTTAATACAAATTAACTGATCAATTAAGCAACCTGAAACATTTGATTTTTCCTTTAATATATAATTCTATATAAATAATTAATGTGGACTGTAAATCTGTAACTGCGTACTTGTAGATATATTATAACTATCAAACACTTATCGGTTATAATCATACATTTACGTATTATATAGATGCTGTTTTTTTCAAACTTTTAAAGTCAAATTTCATAAATTTTGTTATCTAATCAATATATTACAATACAATTGCTATACATGTACACTGACAACTTCCTTTAATAGTACTATAGTCATTATGTATGTTTTGAGATTTTATTAATCTTTAAACTTTTGGCGCTAAATAATGTGTAACGATATGATAAATCAGACGTTGATTTAGAAATGGGTCTGTAGCAATAATATTTTAGTAAATAATGCATTAACCCATGCGTAAAATAAAACCGAACAGACAGTGTGCATCGCGGTGTAGTTTTGACATTAGTCATGGTATAAGCTTATGACATTATTTTTCTTCAGAAATGGTAAAACTTTGTTTTCAGTCAATAGTCCTTTAAAATCACATATAGGAAAACAGAAACCTTGAATAGAGCAAATAATAAACGTACGAATGTAAACAAATTAAAAGGTGATTGGACTTCTGAAATAACATTAACGTCATCAATTCTAAACACAAACATTCATTTTATATATGTGAATCCTTCTTTTTGAACTGTTAGCGATAATATGCTGAGCTTTGTCCTAGTTGTGCTATATGACCTACTGGATAAACACTTTATCATTGTTATCGGTGATAGACGGGCGACTTGAAAAATAAATATCCATTTGAATTTTGATTAGACAGATGTTCTATTTACGTCATACATATTTTTATACGACCTTGTGACATTTAGTGCAATTTTGGATATAACAGGATAGCCGATAAAACATAATGCTGTCGCCATACAGTAGTTTCCAATTATTGAAAACAATTACTTAAGTTACACATAGCGGTATGTCAGTTTTTTGGAAAAAAAAAAACCTTGATATGAACAATTCAGTATAAAAGTATGATATATTCGTATTGTATTGTATGGTATGTTACCTTCTCTAAATAAAGATTGTATCACTTTAGTTAAATAATCCATTGTTTTCCTTCAAGATAGGTTAGGTACATGAGTAAATGAAATGTTGCAATTTGTGTGAAAGTATTGTCTTCATTTAGAGGTTCATAACAATTTGTGGCCTTTTGTCTGCGATATTGGATGAATGAATAGGTTGCTTAAAGCTTACTTTGAATATATTTTTTTAAATTTACACTAAATGATGGTGTTGAATTTCGATTTTGTAAAAACAAGATATTTGTATTTTTTTCAACTAATTAATAAATTTTTCCTTTACAATAATTTGATGTCATATAGAGGGAGGTCGTATATGTCAAGACATGCGGAGTTTGATTTTTCTATTTACTTGACTGCTTTTAGCAGTTGACAACTTCAAGAATATCAATTCTTTAATGATTAAGTTAGTTATAATTTATAAATAAATTAATTTAGTAACATTATAAGGTCCAATGCTCATATTTGCGTTTAAAGTAATTAGATAATTGTCTGATTTAAAGTTTTATAGATTGAAATTGCAAAAATAGATAGATAACAAGTTCTGTGAAAGTGTATAATTAATGGTTTTGTTATCATCAAACAATCTTCATAAGTAATTATAATTTGTTTAATTGATGTTCTGCTTAAACACATTTTTGGAATTATCTCTAAAAATTAATTACATAAACATAAAATCTCTATTATCATGTTTTGCTTTATTTTGATTACTTTATAATTCGATATGTATTATGTTATACAATAAAACCGGATTATGCAATCATTTTGTTCTGCTTGTTTTGTTTTAAAAACGATTTTGTTATCTTATAAAGGACGATTCGATTTATATAGTCAAATAGTTCTGTATTGCATTTCGGGCCTTTAATTAGCATCTTGTTTTTTCCGTTTAAAAAGAAGTTTTCAAAATAGATACATGAAGTGACCTTAAAGCAATATTATCTAAATAAAAAAGATTTACGATACACTTTTGCTTCTTTTCCTTTTGTTTGCCCTGTCCGGCTATTTTGTTACAATGGGATAAATTGTCAGGAATCGGTCGATTCTTTAGGTAGAACGGATCAACTTCCAATGAAATGTATAACCATTCGACCGTAGAAATAGTTCCAATTAATTTTAATCTTATTGAAAAAAGACATGAAATATTACAATGTTAATTGAAATAAAAATGATATGTGATGAAAATTATAATTGTAGCAACCAAACCAAAGAAATAGTAAATTAATGATCATAAACTTAACGTGTTGTGCAAAAATAAGCAAAACCTTCTACAGCATCTTCATCCGACACAGATACTGAAGCGGAAGTAGCTTATTCAGTGAAAGTACAGTTTGTTTTGCAGTTATACAATTGAATTATATCATTTATAGGTAGTACGTTGAAGTACCTGATATAAAGCTACATATTTTATCGTTTAGAAAATAGACCTCTTTTGGTTTTATGTTAATTAAATATTTATTGTTCGAATAAATGTGCGTTTCCTTACCAATTCATGGTGCTGAACAGATTTAAAATGAATTGAAATAGATATAACTGCTAATTTGTGACACACTTTTTTTCGTTTGGCGCCCGAAAAATTGACCTTCTTTGCAAATTAGTCACCAAATCTTATACATACATGTAAACATATCATACATATTGTCACAAATGACCTTTATTTCGAAAATACGTGTTATCACTATGGGTCATGCTAGATAACAGACTGGGAATTTTAAAGCTATAAACAGCATGATTAAATAACATCTTCTGTCGGCTTAAAATGATTATATGTTGACGTCATAATATAACAGATATAGTAGTTTCGGTTTAATTTTTACAATTGCACAATTATCTTAAACCTATGTTAACAATAGTAACTGTATTTAAGTTGAATTTCTAAATTTTTTTGTTTTGTTTTCTTTTCATATTATTGAGATAATTTTGCACCGGAGTGGACTTTCAACCGTTTCCTTGATAAAGTCGTTTGTAATTTAGATCAAAACCACGAAACGTTTTTGCGACTTAAATGGAAACTTGAAGGTAGGTTGTTTCGTATTATATCATGATTATAGTATTTTATTTTAGAATGCATGTACATGTGTTATATATATATATATATATATATATATATATATATATATATATATATATATATATATATATATATATATATATATATATATATATATATATATATATATATATATAAATAAACAAAGTAATAGTATTTTAAAACAACAACAACAACAACAAAACGCCAGGATGTTACTTTATGTGTATTTACATTCATAGGGTCTTGCATCTTGTTAGATAATTGTTTACGAAACGCCAGCAGACGACCTCTTCGAAAAGCTAAAGTAAAATGAGTTCCAATTTGTCGCAAATATTTTCTCTATTTTACAAAAATGTTCAAGTTCTTTGGATACTTTGACACACGGATAAATCTGAGCGGCTTGTACTTGTCCACTCAACAGGACATGTGAACTGATAGGAATCATTGGGATTTACATCTCACCAGGTCAAACACCACTATATTTTGGTAAAAGCAATTACCACTACAAATAAAAACATTTCAGAGGCCATAAAGAGCGTTTAAACAATATTTTTCTCTTCTACCATTGATTTATAACCCTATTCTTTTTCAGAGAGAGGCTTTGAACATATAACAGCATTAATTTTTATCCAAAAGGAAAATGCCAGATCTTACGACATGGCGATACTATATGATTTTACAGAGGACTTTTTGTCATTTCTAATGGTACCATCAGCAAAAACCTTTGTCATAGGGATAGAACCTTATGATAACGGCCTTAAAATAACATTTAAGATGCCGGAGATATGTCTTCAGGTTTTGAAAAATGGACGAGTGAAAAATATTTGCGATGAGGTAATGAAAGCTTCACATAGAAACAATACTGGCGAGAAACCAAACATTCTCAATTGAAGGTATACTTGATTGTTTTTTTCTGCCTAATGGTTTCTGTTGATTTTCACATAAATTTATATGTGTTTTAAGTTATCTTTATAAGCAAAGTACATGTATAATGTTCTAGTGATAATTAAAACCGAGAAGCATTTCAACAGTTGACCAAACCTTCTTAACTTTTGGCACATTTGTTTTTTGTAAATTCCATCAATTTAATGAATATTTTATATAATTTTAGTCGTTCCTTTTATCTGTATGATATAAGAAACATTGGTCCTTTATGTGCATTTATACGTGACGCATGTGTAAGGGACATCGGACGATTAAAAAAAGCAGTTTAAGCTAGAACTGTTAACGTGTATCGCGTTTTGCTATATTGTCAGTATATACATTTTTCATATGTGTGGATTATTTAAAGGTCAGGAAGACAAAATGCCCGAAGAGGAAAGTTGTTTTAAAGCTTTAAATATTGCAGGAGAATTGATACAAGAACAAATTGACCAACTTTGGAAAATCGGATGTTTACCGGATCGTCTGCTGAAGTTACACACGGAATCTGGAATGTCTGTGACTTTATGGAAAACTCTTGTAAAAACTCGGAATGGAAAACTGGCCTCTCATTACATTCCCCTGCAAAATCATATTGAACTTGAAAAACAGTCCTTACATTGTAAAGTAGTTAGAATACATTGTAAAGTAGTTAGAATTTATCCACATATTAAAGAACCATTGTGTTGTAAAACTTGAACTGTTGTCTTTACTTTATGCCAGTTAATATCTATAGGTCGTTTTCTATGCATTGTTTAAACTTATTATATCAATGTATCAGTTTAAATACGACGAATCTACAATAACATCTGATCATTTTTAGGAATGTCATTGATATGAAAATATATTGAAATAACAGCAATTCCGTTGCTTAAGATGCCATCTGTATAAGCATATTATTTATTAAAATTTAAAAAATTTCATCGACAGTTTTAATTTTTGCTCTTTTGTCGTATGGAATTAGAATATATCTTTAACTTCACCAAACGTCTTTGGGACATAAAGATGATATGTCGCCATTATAATATTACATTTGCTTGGAATGTAAACAATATAAACATGCATGTTTATTCTCAAAACAATTCAATTTAGACACCAATATTACCCATGCAGCACGGATATTAGCGTCGTTATAACTTTCACCCTAAATTTTCTGGATCAGAAAGTGATCAGTCTTTGCCACAGGTAAAGAACCAGGCATACAAACGTATTCGGGCAGTCTGACCAAGCTCTATATTTTTGGCCGACTACCTTTTTGTGTAGCCTCTTCAAAGTAAAGGCGACATAAAGAGATCATTTCTCCGCCGTCTTTCTGTCCGTCTGTCTGTATGAATGATTTTGGCCGAGTATAGTTCTTGAATAAAAAGGTCAACTACACAGAAGCTTTATGGACTACTCCTCAGAAACTAGTGGTGCAATTTCAATCAGCCTTTACAGAAAAGATCAATACCAATGCTTTTGGGCTGAGTTATGGCCCTTGAATGGAAAACGCGTTTTGCCCTGTTTATAATGATTTGTTTGCTGTCTCCTGCTACACATAATATAGCTGCAATTATGCAATGGGCTATCTACAGGTGTATGTGATCACTGATGTTTTTTATGCTTGATATACACAAACTTGATATCAGATAGTTCAAAAACTGGAAGCTGGAGAAAACCATTTGGTTAACTGTTGACTGTTAAAAATAACAACAATGACTTAGCTGAACACTTTATGCATACACGTATCAATTTGAACAAATATGTTTTCATATAATATACATTTGTTTATGTCATCAAATATATTTATAATTAAGATAAACAACATAAAAAACACAAACAAAACAAAAACACACAGAAAAACACGCAAATTATCGCATTTTTATGAAGTAATATCAAAGAAAGCAACCCATTTTGATATTTTGTAAAAACAAAATGTAAAAGCTTGATAGTGAATAAAATGCTTTGCTTTTCTATCTTCCATACAAAAACTTTGTGATTGTTCAGTACACCTTCATATGTAGAAATCCTACATTTTCTTACCTTTAAAATGGCTAGGCGACGTATAGTTTTATTTCTTATTTGGCATCAAAACGGAAAATTTGAACTTATTTATTGAAAAATTCATTTCAGCAGGACATATTCTATGTTTATAAGTATTCCAAATTGGTAAAGATAACCAAAACCACTGTTCAAGACGACATAATATGTAAACATCATATTAGAAAAGATCTAGTTCTATAATTATTTGAGCAATATACATCTGTAATTTCGAGCTAATTTGGCTGCTTTGACACAAATGGCTCGAGATTTCACTGTGTATTTATGATAAGGCTCTCTTTAACACGTCATCTCATGATCAGTTTTGCATTCAACACTGTTTTCACCATTCTTCTAAGATGGCTGAGTTGATGTGACGTCATTTCCTGCCACATGCTAAACAATCGACCATTTGCTGCCATGTCCTGTAGATTATCATTTGTTTTTACCATGCGTAAAGTTGAGTTGTAAATGCTGTGAGCGGTTAAATTTTTTGATCCTTCGTCGTTAGTGATAACTACGACCGACTGGGCTAAAATACAAGAAAGCAAGTAAGAATCATTCCTGTTTTGGTTTGGTTGGGAGGTCATTTAAACGATACAAAAATCTTCTTTTTTGTGTTGTTGTTGTCATTTTTTTATGTAGATATTTTAAACGTAAATAATTTATGCATAAAACACCAGACCGTCTGCTATATGATTTCGACATATATGTACTATATATAAAGAAAATAATACTAATTACAATTTTTCATTTGAAAAATAAAATAAAAAAGGTAAGGTAAAGGTAAAATTTTGTAATTTATAGCTCGCTAGGTTCTTCCTTTTTCTTCAATTACAAATGTAATAGAGAGTGTGCAAGGTTGAATGAACTTCATGCAAATTGCAGTTCTAACAGGGTTTGCTTTGCTGAAACTTGTTTTGATTGATACATGCTGCCTCTAAGTGGTTTTTTACCCATTCGCAGAGATAAAATGAAACATAAAGTACGAAATAACAAATAAAAGTGTGGAGAAAAACAAAATGAAGATGTAAGCACATACCTCCCAGTGATTTTGTGTATTTTATAGTCGTGAAAACAAGATCTTTTTCACATCCATTAATATAAAGGCCTCTAGACTCTAGATCTACCATAATTACATAAAGTTTTACATGTGGCATGCTCCTGAGATCTTCCATAGAGAATATGGCATAGAACGGCTTCATTGTGACCTTGAACCCTTCAAGATGGCGGAACATGGCTTCCGTTAATTTCAAAATGAGGCTATCCGCACATTCACGTTGGAAACAAATCACACACACTTCATTTCGTAAACCCACCATATGCTTCGGAGTTCCAGGATTTGATGAGGTCGAAATGAGGAGATGGAAAATGATTTTAAATAACATGGCCAAAAGTTATTGGGTTTGTTTTGAGGCAAGTATAAATTTGTACAAGTTTTCTTTGAATTTTTTTTTAACAAAGATAAAGTTTTTGTAATTTTTTTTAAATAAAAATTATTTTTAATTTGGCAAAAGATCATTTATAAAAAACATTTAACCCGATATTGGCAAAAGTTTAAAATAATTTTTGGGTGTTACAGTCTATTTTCGTCAGGCACGTACTGTCTTCTACAAAAAGTGTTGCATGCACCAGAAAATTATTTTTACGAGTGGATGTCAGTGCTGTTTGCAGATTTAAATGACATATGCTCGGATCCAAAATACATGTATGGTTCAATTATCAGATTGGATACCATGACTAAATGTAAGAAATACCTTTCTTTCCAATTTCGGTCTTTGGATTAGTTTATTGAGTGCAGGCTTTTAAATCAATAACCGGTCCAAGGAATTCC